GATGACCCCTGGGGCTGACAGATGCTGTCCAGTAGCCACCAAGGCGGGGAAGTCCCACGAGGGTCAATGACCCCTGGATTGGGCAAACCTGAAAACTGTGGAGTCAACAAAGTCTGCCAAGGACAGATAAAAGGCAGTGAAAAGTGACCCTCAGTGGCACCTTCTTGATCTCCAACTCGACCAGACCTGTCCAGCCAGAAGGACCAGCCGGCGACCCCCTTCTGGAAGATAACACCACGCTGAAAGAAGCCTCAACGACAGACTCCAGTGCTTGTAGGATAGGTATACCTGACTCTGTAGCCTGCAACTGTGTGTGTGTATGTGTGTGCATGTGTGCATGTGTGTGGGGACCAGCCCCAAGGTTTATGATTACAGTGTTTCAATCCGCCTAATAAACTAGAATTTTAAGGATCCTGACTTGGACATTTGTAGCCAACAGCAGCACCGGAGTGAGACTGCTGCACATTGAGCAAGAGCTCCCCCCACTCTCCTCTGACATCCACAGGGCCCTTTCCACCCTCCCTTACTTCTCCCTTCCCTTCTCCTCCTGCATCTCCTAGTCCTACCCCTGTTTGTTCAGAGCAGCTGTGCTGTGGTTGAAGGGATCTGGGGGGACTGGGAGGGCTCAGGTGGGTGGACAGGAAGGAGAAGGGTTGGCCAGGAGGAGGAGGGGGTGAGGAAGTCAAGCATGTGGCTAGGGACTCTGTCTCTCTGTGCCTGACACAGGCAGTGCAAGTGAGAAAGAAGAGGGTGGTGGGGACACTTTTGGGGGTGACTTTTATTGGACCAGGTGTCAAATTTGGGAGTAATGTTAGACAAAAACACAGAAGAAGGGCACCTGATGCCCAGAAACTTCTCTAACTAAGCAAAAAGACTGCAACAAAGAGAAAAACATGGCAGAAAAAATATAAATTGAAGTGGGGAATACTTTCCCAACTATATGGTGGGTCCAAGAAAAGATGTCACTAAAATCACTTTGATCCTTGCATATTGCCCAGACCACCATAGCTACAATAGTACTCCAACCCTACTGGGAGGAAGGATATGGTCTTTATTCAAATAAGTCAGATGTAGTCAATCATGGGGCAGAGCATTTGATGCTAGGAGACAGTGACCAGGGGGTTGCTTAGCGCAAGGTGATTGTGACCCAATAGGCTGTCCACCAGTTTAGAGGGAGGTGTGTGGGGTGGCGGGGACACACTTTATGAGTAAGGCTCGCAGAAATTTGCTGAGAGCACAAGAGTGGGGAGTCTCATGGATATTCAGGAGTCTGAAGAGGGCTTCACTCGAGTGACCCCACGGCCCTGTGCACATTCTCTGCCCCCAACATGCCTGACCTCTGCTTTGGGGTCCCCTCCAACTTGACCTGGTCCCAGTGCCATTTTTCCTCATTCCTGGCTCCCTGCCCAGCATCCAAGCACTCAGTTGGATAGCTCAGATCCCGCTGCAAGGCATTACTATAAAATGCATGCAGAAGGTGACCTAGAACATCTCCTAGAGAAGAAAGAGATGGAGCATGCTCCTCGTCCTGGCTCATCAGGGGAAGGGGCATCCTTCCCCTCTCATTATGCCTTTGCAAAGACAGGACATGGCCTGTGTTTGTTGATCAGCAATACACTCCACTGTAACAATTTACCAACCTCCAAGCTCTAGTTCACAAATGGTATTAGCAACTTCTTGGAATCTGTTCAAAAAATCCACAATCCCTTTAGTAAAAAGAAACCCAGGTAAATGGGGGAGTGGAGCAGACACTGATTGCAGCAGAAGTGATAGTAACCCACCGTTTATGTGTTTCTCAGCAGATTCAGCCAGGGTTTTGACGGAGTACAAAAAACTAAAAAGCTTCTCAGAAAAAAAATTCAGATGGACGGACCTAAAAAACAACAAAACAAAAAAACCCACAACGTGCTTTGTAAAGCAATGAAGGTTAGAAACAAAGTCACAGTACAATTTACATATATATGTGTAGATATCATATATACCTTAACAAGGTGAACAGTAAATGGCTAGAGTCAATAGTAGCCTATGGGTCTGCTGGCAATTCTATCTAGACGGTCACAAAGAAGTTGATGACTGCAGCCCCAATCTAACAAGATGCACGTGCCTTATTTCAAGCATGTCTGTGATCCCGGGGAGCTCAACAGGCCTGCTCCATACTTGCTTCTTAGCACGGTGCATCAATGTTTGCAGGATCAGGGTCCAACACAGAGCTGACTGGGCCCCGGTGGTTTTTAAATTTGATGAGCAGAGTGCTACAGTGCTCCAAGGTCCTGATCTCCTGGTATTGTCTCCACTGTTGCATCTGTCTTTTCACTGTCTTTCCAGTAAAATGGTTATGTACCTCGGGCAAAACTCTGGCTACACCAAAGTCACTGTCCAAACTCCCATTTAATTCAGTAGGGCCAAGTTTTTACCCTTACTCACCCCCAGAGTTGGGCTTTTATAGCAGAGCACACGACACAAATTCCCAGACCTGCAAGCAGTTTACACTCAACAGTTCGGACTGTCCTAGACTTTACTGCTTTTCATGTCAGGTAACCAGCAGCCTAGATGTGTGGCAATTGCTAATAAAGGTACAAACAAAAGATCCTCCTCCCAGGTAAGAAGTCAGGGCATGGGGAGATGTCAGAACTGGAAGATGACCTGCACCTGCAATGACATGTATTGTTGTGCAGGACTCGCCCGCCCAAATGGCATCGTTCCCCACAATCTTCCACGCTCTTTTCAGAAACAAATGAGCAGGATATAATGCTAGAAGATGTGCGGTGTTGGGATGGGTTGTGTGACAGATACCCTTTACTGAATACCAAGGGAAACAACGGCGTGACCAAACTACCGAAGGCACTACAGCCCGCTGGCCACAGATTAGTAGATAGTGTAACCGGGTCAAAGCTGCTAAGTGCAAAATGGGGGCAAAACTGTGTTCCTCCTGCACTGGAGTGAGGGTCCTCATTAACAAAAGCCTACGCCATCCTAAAAAAAATAAAATAAAAGCTGCACAGCAGACAGTGTTTAGATGCCTCATCGCGAGGAAGAGCAGGGGGCGGCACTGCCCAGGCAGAGCACAGCCTTCGAGTTTTGGTGGGAGATGGATTAAATGTCTGCAAATTAATTGATTGTTTTTCCGTAAGGAGAAGCGAGCTAGGTGATAAGTGCTTTCTCGGCGAAGGGGGTGTGGGTGAACATTAGGTCATCTCTCGGCTCCTGTGGGGGAACCCTGGCTCCGCTGAAATCAGTGACAAACCTCCTCTGGCTGGCCTTCAAGATGGTCAGCGTTTTCTTCCATGGTCTACATGTTGGGTCTTCAGAAACAAGCTCAGGGAGAAGCAATGCTGACCCTAGTTGGTCCTTCACTGATCTTTCCTGAACTGGCTCTTTCTTTATTTCCTATATTTATTCTGTTAGATTTATATCCCACCCTGACCCCAGCGCTCTTTGCTGCATGGGCAGGGGGTCGGACTCAGTGATCGGTTGAGATCCCTTCCGACCCAAGCATCTATGAATTGAGGTCGCTTTTCATGGGGGGCTATTATTATTTATCCTAAAAGTTTGAATTGCTCCCAGGAGATCGCTGTTGCCCTGTGCAGAAGGGAGAATGAAGGAATTAATTAACACTTTATTGTCCTTTCTCATTTGTTCCTGCTACAGAAAAACAAGACCAAAGAAATGGCCAATGCAGGTACAAATATAATGAAATGGTTTATGGATGAGGTAACAGATATCCTCTATCCAGCAATAATGGAATATGAAGAGAGAAAAATAACCGAGAGAGATATGAGAGACAAGGAGGCCAGTGCCAAAAAGTGTGTCTGCACAGGCAGAAAGATAACACCCGGCAGCTCACCAGGATGTGGGAAGAAATGGAGTAGAGGAAAATTAACCTCACTTTTTTCTCAACACTCACCTGGCTTGTCTCCAGGTATTGGCAGAGAGGTTTGGGAAGACAATCTTCCTGAGCCTGAACCGGCAGCAGTACCTCCTCATCCAGCTAATCATCTCTCCCATTTGTGCAGGGGGAGTGTGTGCAGGGCTGCTCAGCTTGAGCATCCCAGGCAGACTTTCCAAGCTGAGCGATTTCCCCATGGCCAAAGGTACTTTCAGTACAACCTGACACAAAAAGATGGCCAATTAGAAACCCATCTCATTAGGGAAGATATTTCCTCTGATGTCGCACAAGATCACCCTAAAACAGGCATGCTTAGAAAGTTATTCTCACCGATCAATGCCCAGGAATGAATGCTCAGTTCTGGGGAACAGGTCCAAAGGGATGACAGATTCAGGTCCCCAAGCTTGCAAGCCCCCACTCAGGGGGCATCAGAAAGGTGTGTTACCGTGCAGGAGCTCTGGGGCTCAAACCTTGTCCATCCCCCCAGGACGTACTCGTCAAGTCAAGGGCAGTCCGGTCCGACACGACTCTACCCCAGCTCGGCAAACAGCTTCCGAGAAAGCCCTGCTTGTCATCATGCAGGAAAATATTCCCTGAAGAGGAAGCACCACTGCCAAGATACACCATTGAGCCTCAGCCCTGGCACTCACCTGCCAGTATCTATGACGACACCTTTTTCCACAACACATATGATGACCACATGAACAGACGTGTCCCTTCCCAAAACTTCCTTGCTCAGGACAGCGTGATACGTGGAAGCGAACCTTCATGTTTCAGTACAGAGCTGGTCGATTCGGTGTTAAGTAAGCTGTCCGGATGTCAGGCCACAGCCCAGCAGCCTTCGGAAGATCAGGGTCTCTTCCCTGACATATATACCTTGACGGCCCAAATTATTCACTCGTTTGTCTGACCTTCGGCATGAAAGTGCTCCTAAAGTCACAGCTGGTGAAAACAGGAAAAGCAACAGGACTGTGTCAGCAGAGGGGTTAAGTGTTTTGCGAAGGAGAGAAATTACTGATCACCAACGCTTAGCAAAAGCACCCCCTCCAGCTCGGTACAAACCTCTAGAGCCTGGGAAAATGGTTGAGAAGCTTTTTGAGGATGCTACCAAAAGCACCTCCCAATGCCAAAGTCCCACACCATCTACTCCAGAGGTCTGGCTCAGATATTTGGAAGATATAATCAGCAGGCTTTTCTCTGATCTTCTCCCTGCCGCCACCAGCACATCTTCCCCGAAAGAAAAGAAAACAGAGCTTGCAGGATTTGACTTGCTTCCTCTGAAGGTAATCAGACAAGTGATGGCAAAAATCTCTGAAGATGATGACTCTTGTAGCCAGCACACTGACCATCTGCATGCCAGAGAGGATGCTGTGATTCAAACCACTGCTGATTCGGTTTACGACAAGCTTTTGGCACAGTTTCAGTCTCAAGTCAGCATGCAAAACTGCTTAAGAAATGGGTGCCTCATTCTTTCCGAAGCTCTTTGTGACTTGGTCTTCCAAGAGGTTTCTGGGAGACCACTGCAGAGCTCTCTTTCTGGGGAATCACCTTTTCGCCACCGTGCTGAAGCAGACAATTTTGTTGGAGATACACCCAGAGATGTTCCTGAGCCTCAGGAGAACCCAAACACCGTACCATCGGACCTGAGTAAAATAGTTCCTCTTATCATCAAAAAACTAGCAGGAAATCTGTCCATGTTTTCATCCCTCTTTCCCATTGCGGAGATGGATGCAGAAAAGACTTCGTTGCTGAAGGATGCAACTGCTGGCAGAAGCTCACAGCACCAGAGACGTTTATCAAGGGCCGAAGCGAGCACGCTTGCTGAGAACTTGAACCAGGCTGCGGAAGAAAGCCTGTCCAGACATCAAATCAGCCTTGTGCCACCGCGATGTCCAGAGCAGGAAGGAGCACTTATTCCTGGAGGTCGAAACTACTACCTGATTATGCCACAACAATCTGGCTCTGAACAAGACCTGTACAATGACGTAACAGGTTTTGATGCACATCTTCCACAAGACGTGGTTACCGTCATAATTGAGGAACTCTCTGATCGCCCCCTTTTACGGGTGGTGAGCGACCGACTGAGCCAAAGCATGACAGACCCAGACAGGCTTGCCAACCAGGCTCTTTCCCATGAGTCTATTAGTGCAGAGTCTAAGTCATGGCGTGATGAAGAGGCAGTCCCAGGTACAAATGCAGACAAGACCCCGACAGGGATAGAGGAGTTAGCCACGCTGAGAGCTCTTCAGCCCAAGGTGGACCTCCTCGCACAACTGGCAGCTCGCTACACTGAGGATGAGGAGGGAGAAGAGAGGGTGGAAGACGACCTCCTTGAATCAGAGCAGCAGTGGGAGGAAGAAGAGCTGCAGCTGATTGAGGAGACCGCTCCAGTCAAATCCTCTCCGTATTTGTGGAGCCCGCTGGGTTCATTCATGGACACTGAACCATCAAGGTAACTTTTTCTGGCAGTGCAGAGAGAGTGGGAGCTGTGGTGGAGGGCGATCATCTGGGGTCTCTGGACAGAGCGGTCCCTGTGTTAGACTGGGTTTGGTATGAAGGTGCACAGGGCTCTGCCCCACTCTCTGCTTGCTTGTAACCAGAGCGTTTCACTGGTGCAACACAGTGGGACCAGACGGTGTCAGGGACTCTGCGCTTCCTACACGGCTCATTTACTCTGCCACCATCTGTGCGCTTCCTCCCCATGCCCAGATCACGTTCCACAGCCACAGCTGGTGGGAGGATGTGTTCAGCAGGGGGGCATTAGAGCAAGGGAATCTCTCCCGGC